TAATATTTAGTGTTATGTAGATATGCAAATGTAGTTATATATGTGTATATCCATATCATACATTAAAGTATATGTCCATAGAATTATATAGTTCTATAAGGGTCTTTGTGTGTGTATATATAGTCTATATATAAACCCACCCTATTTATATACAGAGACCATGTAACTATAAACCAATCTGCATAATATATTGTGTATTTCATCAGTAGGTAAGTAGGTGCTTATACTAACAGATCAATGTATATCTATACATATGTGTGCATATGTATATATGCATATAGAAATACATAGCTATATAATAGATAAATGATGGTATATACTATAGCAAGAGTACATTAACGATCCCACTGTATCTGTGTATATCTATATATAAAATGTGTGTAGAAATAGGTCACCAGGGAGAGTGTATAAGGCTGGCTCATATGTATGCCTGTATACGTTTATTTATAAAATATACATGCATGAGACTTTTGTTCAGTTATATAAAGGTATGTGTAATTTTACGTATCACTGTATATTTATATATATGTGCATATGTATGTATAGATCTTTTATATCCCTGTATGTGTATACCATATGTAGATGTATAGGGCTAGAGTGACTGGTCCACATCATCCAGTGACATGTGTGCACTCTTTGGAAGTATCACAGGATGGTTTGGGGTGATTGGGACCTTAAAGCTCACGTAGCTCTACCCCCAGGTGATGGAGGCTTGTGGACCTTCATCCCACCGGTCCTACGGGAAAAGCTGCACCCACGCAATCACTGGTATTTATAACTTTTATTTGCAATACTTTAGGTCCAAGTTTCAAACTGCAATATTTTTACACTCAAGACACAGTCATGCACAATCCATATTTCAATTTTCTATTGCTTCAACCACAATTTAAAATAACTTAATATTGGAAACAAAACCCAAAATCTTAAAAAAAAGGATGCTGAGGTCAGTAAGATGGATCCATGCCATCAGCACATTTACAAAGTAAATAACTTAGTTCTCTTTTTAAAAAGATCCGTTACCTCTTGATCCAAAGTTACAGAAGATTTTTCACTACACATTTGTTTTTTGTTTTTAGCTTTTTCTTTTTTTCTGTTTTTTCTTGTTTTTTTTTAAACAGATAACACGTCCTAAAAAAGGAATGTACGGCAAAATGAGATAGATACATTTCTGATAACGATGACAATGTAGGCTCCTCCTCTCTTTACTCTTGTTTGGATACCCTGAAGAAAAAGAGTAATCTAGCAGACACCAGCATAGGTGTAAACTGGTTGCTTTGGACTAAACTGGAGTTTTACATCGGTTACATCCTGACCCAGTCAAGAGTTGTGGAATTCTGTTGCAGATCTTCCTGACCTGTGTGCCGGTACTCACGGCATCCGCAGGGCAGACACCACGCTCCTGCACCACAAAAGCTGCCAGTAATTCCCACACGGGCTTTGGGCTCTGCCCAAGGAGCTGCCCTCATCACTGGGGCCACGGTGTGCGCACCCCTTTGCTACTTGTTCCCAGCTACAGCAGCAGCCTTCCACTTACGTACCTGCCAAGGCGGCTCACGAGAGTGGCCCCTGAAGAGCTGAGAGGCTCTTTTTCCCGTTGCTGTGCTACAGACTGATTTAGCAGCATTGCTTGACACAAACAGAAACAGCTAGACAAATGCAATTGCCTTTACAGACCTGGAGAGCAAAGGGCTGCTGGGACATGGATGTAAGAGATGTGCATGCTTCCTGTTTGCTGTCCTTCTGCCCTGGACATTTTGCATGATGGAGAAGAACAACAGCAGGCAGCTCCCTCCCACCCAGGATGTCTCCAGCCCCCGTGCTCTGGGCATTACCAGCACCAGCTCAGGAGGTGACCAGTTCTGCCATCATTGAAGCCAACAGCCAAACTCTCACTGACCTCACTAGGAGTAACAGCAGTGCCTGTATCTGATCCCCAGGTCTGTGGCTGGGCTGACACATACCCCATGATGCACATACTGTGCAGCAGCAAAGGACCAGACTTTAAAACCAACCACCTACCACTATTCCCTGACATCTGCAATAGCATCATGTCAGCTTGAGGCACCTAGGAGCCCTCGATGGCCTTCAGATGTCAGGCCCCGAGTTCTTGGAGGTGATGCACTAAGTGAAGGGGATTTTCAACTCCCTCTCCAGACCAAGCTTACAGACTGAAAAGGCTGCTGTAAGCAGGAGTTCAAAGGGCAGAGAAAAGAGGATCTCAAGTACTCTAAGCCAGTTGCAGAGTCTTGGTTAGCAGCCACCAAGCAGAGGAAGACCAGAGGGCACAGGAAGAGTGACAGAATCAGTCAAGCACAGAGACTGGGAAGAGCAAGACTGTGAAAGGTAACACACTGCTTAGTTTCTCTCTTTAGGGAAACTCTTCTCTGTTTCAAGCCCTGAAAGGGGTGAAGACCAGAAAGGAGGTGACATAGGGACAGTACTCATAGCCTCAGTTCATTCACTTCCTCCCTCAATGTTACAGCAAAATGTGATTAACTGCATTCTTCTGAGTAGTCTCTTTAGCATTAGCAGCTGAGCACTGGTAGCTAAAGTAGCTTTAGCCTGCAAGGCCTGGTTGAGAGTAAACTTTCTGATAAAACCAGTGTTGCTAATACGGAACTAGATGAATCCAGCAGCTGGGATCACAGAATCATTTAGTTTGGAAAGGACCTTTAAGTTCATCAAGTCCAACCATTAACCCAACACTGCCAAGGTCACTACCACAGGTGGGCTCAGGCGACTGATGGTTTATACATTCAATGCACGCCGAGGATTACAGCAATCAGCTCTAAACTCATCCAAAGAGAGGATGGGTAAGCAAGATCCTGCAAGTTTCAGCCACAAAAAGAAACTACCCTGTCAGCTCAAGGACAGATAAAGTTTGAAGAATCCTTGAACTGCACATCCCACTCAAAGCAGCCTTGGCCAGGACAACACAAAGGTGGCCCTTTGCCTGCTTCCTGAAACCTAGAGCTAAAATTAAAGGTATTTACCTGGTCAGGAGAGGGGGAGAAGAAAAGCTGAACACTTACATTTATGGGTCCTTCATCAGGTTCCCCATCACCCACCATTAAACTGCTGCACATCTGCACATGAATGAACAACGGTTCACTGGGAAGGTGTGCAGACCACTAACTCCCCAAGACCTAGCAAGGTGAAGCTGGTATTCATGTGCATGTCCTGGGTGTCAGGCAAGGGAACACATCTGTAAGCGCAGGTTACAGAGCGTGCCCTGGCTCATTGCTCAGGCCTGGACTAGGACAGATGGGTATTTACATGCTCAGCGTGAGGAATATTCAGTAGCCACACCACTGACCATATACTGGAACTAACTGCCATATAGACACCAGGGGATGGGGACGTTCCTACAGCTAGAGGACAGGAGACAGATAGATACTTACTTCCCTTCTTGTGGTGACTGGAATGTGCTTCATTTTTGATGACAGGACTGACTGAAAGACCTGCTGACATGCAGCGACCGGTCTCAAACTCAGCACGAACAGCTATAAAAGTACTGGGGTTCAGTTGTGTGCAGAGATGGGGAATAAACACGCACGTACGTACAGGAGTGCTGGACACAAGTGAGAGTGCTGTAAGATCCACCCCGTGCCGGCTTCCGGGTGTGCATGCAGGAGCTGAATGGAATTCTACATGGAATTCTACATGGCTTTTTCTGAGTGAAGCCACATTGCGCCTTTCTTTCAGAAATGAATAAATAAACCACAAACTGCATACTGCAACTATTCTGCTCCAAAGAGTAAGCAAACTCTGCTTACAAACCAGCGGACTAGTCAAGCACCATCCTCACTCACATTCAGGATTACCTCTCTCCCAGCAACTCAAGAGCTGCAACCGGTGCCTCTCTGTCTGTAAAGCACTCTGCATCTCATATGCTGGCTCTTGCTCAGAGCCCCAGGTTTTAACACACTTCCCTCGAGAGCTGTCTGTGGCTCTGGCCATGTGTATCCGAGCTGCTACTCACTCATTCACACGCTGTCAGCCTGAGTTTCCATGTCAGAACTCGTGTGCCTGAAGGACACTCACCTGCACATGAGCCTGACACCCTCCTCCCCTTCTTCCCAGAGACACTACGAACCAGGAGCTCCAGGAGACTGGGAGAGCAGGCATCCTGATGTGACACCACAACTCAGCTCTGTTCTACCCTTCTCTATTCCTGCACACACTCAAGACAGCTAATCCCTCCAGCCTGTGCATTCCACAGCATGGCCAGGATTCACCTCGGGAGCAGCCTGCTGCCAGTTTGGCTCTGACACGGGATGATTATTCCGGTCCCAGGAAGAGGGATGCACCCAGCCCCAGTCTGTGGCCACCTCCTGCTACAAGAACCTTCCTCTGGCCTGGGTCTGCAGGTGCCAAGGCTGCCCTGCGCTCTGCAAGGGGTCTGCTGGGGCTCAGCGCCAGGCAGGGCCGGGCCTGCTCTCACATTTCTCCTACAGCTTTGCACCAGACGAGCCCTTTCTGAGCACAGTCTGCTCAGAAACCTTTCTGCTTTTTCACTTCAGTAAGACTCGCATCCAGGCAAACAGATTACAATTAGTTATACAAACCAAATTGCCAAGAACCGAAACACTACGTATTCACAGTTGAAAACCTGTATCTCAACAGGATGTTTTGTCTGCCCCACTCTTGATGGGTTTTTGGTTGGAAATACAATGCAAGTACCATGACTGGGCAAATACCAGCGAGGGGGCTGTATTCAAAAGGCAGTGCAGTCTGGAGTTTATGAATGAAGGAGAACCTTCTCCAATTCCAACCGTACCAAAAAAAACCCGTAAAAGGGACTTTCTGTCTTTAAGAAACAACTGACAATTTAAAAGAGAATGTACAGCTTATTCACAGGGTGAGAAGGAAGGGAATCTTCCAACTGAATTTGCTTTACCTTGGGAATGGTGGAGGCAGCAAAGCATTTTCGGTCATCACCTCTCTGTCTTAAGCCCTGTTTCATCTTAAAAATAAATTAAGGAGCCAGAAAGCAGGAAGAAGACAAATGATAAGTTTTACTCCTCGAGGGACTGGGTTGTTCTCCCTCCTACCTCCGTGACTGTGACCGTTGGTGTGTGCATCCATCCTGTCCCGCAGCACAAGAGTTGAGGTTTCACAGAGTCTCTGTTCTCAGTCCTGCTCTGAGCTGGCATGGGAGACCGGCCTGGAGCGCTAGCGGCTGCTGTTCTTAATCGCTTCCTTTGCTGCAATGATCAGAGGAGTCAGGCTGGAGAGAGGCTTGGCTAACTTTAAAAATGGATGCTGCCCAAAGGAAAAAAAAAGAACTGTTACTTTCCAAACACAGTTACTCACAGGCTCAAGCAGTTTGTCCTCTGGTTACCAGGAGTTTGCAGAAATAGGACTGCGGGGACCATCTGCACCTGCGTCCTTGTGTTCAGGACCCTGCTGTCACAGGCAAGCATGGTCCATAATCCTCCTAATCCATTTATCAAGGTGGCTTCAGCTTGCTGGGGTGTTTACCCTGGCAGCACTGTGGGAATGCTGTTTGCTGTCCCAGGGCCTTGTTCCTTTCAGGAAACCTGAAATACTTAAGATTCCATTTTTCTAAAGACATGGACTATTTCAGTTGTCAAAAAAGATGAGGGGCATGAGCCATTCCTCAGGGAACTACAGAATCTTGCAGAAACTTTTATCCCAATAGAATGTAGGCCTGTGAGTTGTTCTGAAGGACACTGAGGTACAGCTTTCCAGCACCAAGAGCAGGCAGGCAAGTGACAGCACTGATGGGCTCAGCTCTGGGTTGAGTAGTGCCTCATCCAGCCCATGCACTGCCCTTCCTGTGCTGGCTGGCACCTGCACAGCAGGACTGAATATACTATCAAAATACAAAACAGGTCCAGGGAGCACCTCTCCTGCGAGGAAAGGCAGAGAGAATTGGGATTGTTCAGCCTGGAAAAAAGAAGGCTCCAGGAAGACCTTACCGGGGCTTTTCAATACTCAAAGGGGGCCCTGTAAGAAAGACAGAGACTTCTTAGCAGGGCCTCTTGTGGTAGGACAAGAGGTGATGTTTTTAAACTAGAAGGACAGATTCAGACTAGATATAAGGAAGAGATTTTTTACAGTGAGGGTGGTGAGACACTGGAGCAGGTTGCCCAGAGAGGTGGTAGATGCCCCATCTCTGGAGACATTCAAGGCCAGGTTGGACGGGTCTCTGGGATACCTGACCTAGCTGAAGATGTCCCTGTTCATGGCAGGGAGTTGGACTAGATGAGCTTAAAAGGTTCCTTCCAACTCCAATCATTCTACGCTTCTACTTCATTTTTTTATTTGAAAAGCACTGGAGACTGATAGAGCAGCCTTCCAGTACCTGAAGGGGGCCTACAAGAATGCTGGGGAGGGACTGTAGTGACAGGACAAGGTGTAACGGGTTCAAACTTAAACGGGAAGTTCAGATTGGATATAAGGAGGAAATTCTTTACTGTAAGGGTGGTGAGGCACTGGAATGGGTTGCCCAGGGAGGCTGTGAATGCTCCATCCGTGGCAGTGTTCAAGGCCAGGTTGGACAGAGCCTTGGGTGGCACAGTGTAGTGTGAGGTGTCCCTGCCCATGGCAGGGGGTTGGAACTGGATGATCTTAAGGTCCTTTCCAACCATAACTATTCTACGATTCTATGCCTTCGAGTTCAGCTTCCAAAAAGCCATCCCACAGTAGAGCTGTGTCACTCCCAGCCACTCGCACTGTACCTGCAGCAGCTCCTTGGCAGACCCTCTCCTGTCCACGTCCATCTCCAGGCAGCAGTTCAGAAAGTCTCGGAATACAGCGGAGAGTCGCTCGGGGTTCTGCAGCTCTGGTGTCCCGTTGGTAGCTATCAGATACAGCGCCTAGGGAAGAAGGAAACACCAGACTCCTCCTGTGTCTTTCACATCCATAACTCCTCACATAGACCCCACTTTAAAGTCCAGTCTCCAGTGGCAGCTTCTTCCCTGGCAGAAGGTGAGAGAGGATTTTTCTATACCAACAAAAAAACCCTGATGCAGCCACAGCTACTCCAACATCAGAACAATCCTGCCTTGACAGCTGATTTCATTGCCTGACCTAGTTAGTAAGAACTACATCAGCAAAAGCACATTTTGCTCCTCTAAGTACTGACACTAGCTTTACAGGCTATTTTAAAGAGTGAATTTGGTCCAACTATGTAATTTCAAAGGATTATTACATAAAAATGTGTCTCTGCAGTGCTCACTGGTCCCTGCAGTACAGCTTCCATGGAACAAAAGCTAGCCAAGTTTTCTTGCTCTGTTCTTCATAAAAATGGTCACTGGATGAAAAGAAAAGTATATCCATCAGCTTGTTCCTTGGGTAAAGAAACAGAAACATTTGGAACCTCATTTTCAACACACACACGTTAAGCTGAATCCACAAATATGAAGAAAATGTGTAACTGGGCAGACAGGGGCCACCTGCAACTACGCCTTTCAGCAGCCTCCAAATTCCAGGTCAGCTTATGTGGTAAAAGAGAACTTACTGGTCTAAGCAGAGAAATGAGTAACTCCATTCCTATGGCAGCCCCTATGGCAGCCCTGTGCTAATTTGGATACTCAAGTAAACACATTAATGATGTCCCTATTCCAGAAACTGTCAGGGAAGAAATGGGAGGTGTTGGCAGTTTGGTTATTGGAAGCTCAGGGTTGGTGGCATAGAGAAAGTGGACTATGAAAGAAATATGTTCACTAAGTATTTCAGGAAAAACAGGCAAGAGGCAGAACAGACCATGTTGCCTTTGGGCTATAATCTTCACGTTCCAGGCAAGCTTCCAGTGAGAAGAACTGGGGGCAGTTTATATCTCAAAACCCCTGTTTAGAAAGGTGCTGGGGTTTTGGTGGGGTGGTTTGGTTGGTTGTGTGGTTTGGGGGTTTTACTTTGGTTTGGTTTTTAAAGGTAAGATTAGATCTGCTACACGTATTTCATGTTTTCAGGGTCATCTTCACAGACAGAAGAGCTGGAACAACGTCAAACCCCAAATAAAATGTTACCTGAGTATTGGGAGTATTTGCTGAGTCCTCTGTGAATTCCCTTCCATGATGTGCACAAGCATCCAGCTGCCCATCTGTGCACACAGGCCTACCCAAACATTTGGAAAGTCAAGCCCTTCTCCTCCTCAACAGCATCTAGCCTAATCGAAGCTGAAGTTTCTTAAGCAAAGCCACAGATGCTCACTCCCAGGAGTGCTCATGAATCTGAGCAAGGCCTCCTGATATTCCACTGCCCAGGAATTACAATGTAGATTTGCGAAACACAGGGTGAGCATTATCCAGCCTGGTTCACTTGTAACCACGGTCTAACACGCTGAGAAGCTGGAGAGATCAGTCCCTTCCGGCTTTGCAACATGTTACTTAGAAACACAAGTAAATAATTCTGAACTAGTTAAACTCACAGAATGTGTTTCAAATACACCGCAGTAAGAACAGAAATAGGCCCAGGAGTCTTCCATAGAAATGCGTGCATGATAATGACAGCTCTGTATGACTGGCGTTTAAATAGATTGTGACCAAATTGACTCTGTCATCCTCTTAAATACACAGGAAGATTTCCAACCCTGAAAAAGCAAATGAACTATCCTGGAGTAAAACAATAAAAGGCAGTTGCTTTACTTTTCCCACAACGTTAACGTCACAGCATCACTCTGGTCCTGCTGTCCATCTGCAGCTGACCCGAGCTGCAGGGCTGTCCTCACCACTCTTAAATTGTGCTACTTAAGGGATGCTACTTCTCCTGTGGTAAAGCAGCACCAATGTCAACCTTGGAGACTTTATTCCAGCCGCATTCACCTGACTGTGAACGAGGAGTGCCAGGACAAATGGAGCTCTTTTTAGTGGCTTGTTTCTCCACAGCACATGAAGCAGGAGGAAGAGTCATCTTTAGCTTGCAACTGAACCTTTTACATACTTCTAGGATGACAGAAAGAGGTCTACGAGAAGCTAAAGCGCCTTCTTATGTATCTTTTGGTTTCCTGTGATATAGCCAGCAAAGAAAAACACGAGCAGTACAAAGGAAACGAGTGTTTGCAGTAGCTGCAAAGGGGCAATAAGCTCATTGATTTGTTTAACATACCAAGAAAGAAGAAAGGATTTGGCACACAATTATAGCTGCAGTCTGTGAAAACGATATCCTAAAGTTATCCAGGCCACCCAGATACACGGCAGAACAATATACAGATGATTTAGAAGCCTGAAACTGTAGAAGATCCAAAGCATTTGGAAAACATGCTCCAGTTTTGAAGGAAACTGATGTGCTGTGGTTAATAAATGAAAAAGCAAACAGAAATGCTGAGGGTTTGGGTTTTTTAAATTGGAAATGGGGAGGTCCAACCTACATTTCAAAGGATATTTATCACACCAGTGTTTGCCCCTCAGGCCCCAGGCATATGCCTGATGGAAGAAAATCACAGTGAGAGAAAACAAATACCATCACAGAAATATCCAGGACACTCATGGCTGGAAAACGGTTCATTTCTGTGAGGCTGGAAAGAACCTGAGGAACATGGGACACGTCTGCTCTACACACAGAAACACAAATGTGGTTGCATCAAGACTGCTGTTAACTCTGTGATTAAGGTCCCTTATTGCCCTTATAATTTATTCATGTATTTAGTGTCAGTAACTGCAGCTCCTGCACGCCTTCCTTTATTAAAACAATCATTCATAAAAATGAAAGAGCATCTTTTTGTTTCCAGGCTTTGCAGAATACCCTGAATGTGGTCTACATGTGCCTATTAAACCAACCACCACTGTGTGCCAGCAGCTAAACAACTCAGCTATAAAAACAGGGCTTGCTTATAAGCTCTCCTGTTTGGATGCAGCTGAAACCTCTCACTGAAGCCTCTGTTCCATGTACAGTAGTGGATGGATCTTGTCCCTGTTGGGGTTGATTTACCTTAATAAAACTACCTGACAACTGGGGAACTTCAGGCAGTCCATCACAAGCTCTTCGCTGTTCCTACCTCAGGGGTAGCAACCTCTGAGGAAGGGTCCAGAAGCTAATACAGATAGTACTGACTTGAGATGCCCGATTTTAATGTACTGCTATTTTCCTCAGACCCGAAGGTGCCTTGCAGCAGTAAGTGTTCAAAGTGATCTTAACCTCAGCAGGAGATGAGCCATGTATGGAGAAAGAGAGCATCTCAAATAATCTGGCTAAAGGCAGGAAGAGCTGAACAGGAATTTGGTCAGGTCAGAAATTCAGTTCTCTTTCTAACCCGAGGCTTCTCCAGGAGCCCTCATCCACACCTGAGGTTAGGGAAGCTGGGAATTTCCAGCATCCAGACCAGTAATGCTAATTCTCCTCATGTGCATTTGCTGCCTTATACAAGGCAAATGCATTTTTTTTCCACAAGGGTCTTCTATGGAAGCATATTAACTATGGGGTTCTCTCTTTGGCAGGAAAAGTCATTTTAAGGAATCAGGATAAAAGGGAAAACTTCAAAACATTAAAAATGCATCAGTTTACTGCAAATATCCCTGCTAAAACGTACTTTTAGAAATGTTTTTGGTAATGAGTAATTCTGGCATTCCTATAACCAGTGACACTCTGGGGAAGGCTCAGGTAAGCCATCAGCACTGTTCTGAGTCTGCTCTGCTCACAGATACAGCTGAAATGCTCTTCAGGAAAGTTCCCCAACTGGGGAAACCTGCTGCTGAGCAATTCCTGCCATTGAGATGCAGCTCAGAGTTCAAAAACCATGTGAGAAATTTCAAGCACAACTGAAGGCAAAAATGGCACATTTCTGAACTGGCTACAGCTCCCTTCTCCTCTGAGGTTCTCCCATGGATGTAACCAAAACTACTGGATACGCTGGTACATTCCAGTGACATTTTCAGAAGCTCTTGGTGGAGCTGATGGGACTGGGATCCTGTCTCATGGATACAAAGCATGGGACAGATTAGAAAGAGCGGTATCTGGTTTTGTTTGCACCTTACCCTGAGAGGATTTTCATTAAGGTACGGAGGTTCTCCTTCCACCATTTCTATTGCCATGATCCCAAGAGACCAGATGTCCACTTTGGGGCCGTATGCTTTCCTTGTCACCACTTCTGGTGCCATCCAGTAAGGAGTCCCGACCATTGTGCTCCGTTTACTCTGCTCAGGGGTGATCTGAGCGCAGAAACCAAAATCAGCTGATGGGAAAAACAAGTATTGTTAAAGGCAGGCTGAAGCAAAAGAAAGCCCCACTACATGGCTGAGAACACGCTGCTGAGTCTCTCTGGAGAAGGAGCCGTGCCCTGTTCAGTCAGCGCTGCAGCCAAGGAAACACTGAACTGGCCACTTTAGGCCAGTTTCACACAGTGGCTTTGATTCACCTGAGGCTGGAGACTGTAACTCCCTCCCTTCGACAAGGACACGCACAAACCAAAGCTACTCTCAACACCTTTTTCCCTCCTATACCTCTCTGCATGTTGGAACTGTGCTCTTAGCTTGCAGCAGTGGTTAATGCACTACCACAGGCATCGCTTTTGGGTAACTGGCAGTCAGTCAAAAGCAGCCCCACGCCACATCCTGGGAGTGCTGCGCCTGGCCAAGAATACCTACTCAGTTTGACAGAGCCGTCCATTCCGAGAAGGATATTGTCACTTTTGATGTCTCTGTGAATCACTTGGTTTGAATGAAGGAAGTCCAGCGCTTGCAGGCACTGACAGACAAAAAAGAAACAGGAGGGTGAAAATTAATGACCTGAGTTCATCACACAAGAAAGGAAATGGCTCCAAAAGATTGAATTTCTAGATGAATTGTGACTAATGGCAGAACATTGTGCTGTCAAGAGGAACACCGTGCTGCACCAACTGGCTGAGTAATAACTTTCTAAATGAAGGCATATTAGCTTTTGAAAGAGAAATGTCAATTATTGCTACAGACTATCCCCTGCAAGCACAGAGAGAATGTCTGCTGCTGCAGTGAACGTGCTATCTCCATCCACATGAGAAACTATTGTTTGCCAAAGAGTATTCCCTTCCTTTAGTATGAAGTGGATCACTTTCAGGTTGGAGGCTGCATGACAAAGGTTTTATTGTTAGGCTCTACAGCAGATTTGGAAATAGCATGTTAGTAATTTTTCAGAATCAAACACCATTTTGGGAGGAATGCTTTCCTTTTAAGCTGAGGACTGTGATAAATGAGCCTCTATTTTTCTTTGCTGTTGTTTTAAAACTCTGCCACCAGCATGTTTGCTTTTACAGGCAAGGAATGCAGTAGAGATGTGCTCCAGACAAATGTTTAAAGAGGCAAAGTTGAGAACAGAACTAAAAAAGAGACAGTACAGTAACAGTATATGAGTATAATAACAGAGTATAGTAAGTGCAGTGATACTGGCAGGCAGTTCACTTAAGTTCTTTCTTCTCCCTATTACTAAAGCAACACAGAAACAAAGCTCTGAACAAGGTATCACTCATGTTCTTACCATCTGTTTAAAAGTACCATCCTGTGCGAGTAAATGGAAGCACGTGTAGGATCCCTTACCTCCCTACAGACAGCTGCTATCTGTCCTTCATCCATGCATGTCTCTGTAACCACATCGGTTAAAGAGCCGCCAGCCAAGTACTCCATAACCACCCAGAGCTCATCACCCACCAGGTAGCTGGAAGAAGAACACAGCAGCACTGAGATGAATGTGCAAAGCTGAGTTACCTTATGCAAAAGACTACAGCTGAGTTGTGTTTCCAGCTCATTCCTGATAGCCTATACAGTACTTAGAAGCTGTGCAGTCTAAATCAGAAAGCACATTAAGTGAGAAATAAGACGTCCTAGATGGCAAACAAGTGAAAAAATGCAGTTTGGCAATGGCACAGATAAATCTTGCACAGATTATCACATCATTTGGTTCATCATCTTAACACATAAATTCCATGATTTACTCCAGGAACAAGGCAGCACAGCTCTCAAAGTGTCCATGGTAGGAGGGTGTGTACCACTGAGGACAGAAATTGGTCAGCACTCTGGAAAACCTTACATAAAATACATTCAGAAACAGGAAAAACGGTTTAAAAACTGGCAAATTACATGTTTCTGGAAACAAGAACCCAGTCTTCCTGGCATCCACAGCCATGGAAAATAGCGGGAATAGCCCAAGGAAAATCATTTCTAAGATGATTTATCAGCACTTATCATAAGACACAGAAAATACTATCAACTTTAAAAAAAAACAGTAAACCAAAGCCACCCAATAAAGCAACTCGGAGGCAGTGAAACTAGAGGCTGTTGTTTTATAAAGATCCAGCTGATCCAGGTTTCTGAGAACAGTCTTCAAACTACAGCTGCCAGAAGAGATTAATGCAGACAAAGTGCAATCTCCTCCCACACACTAAATAGTAGATAAATAATAAAGAGATCGATTTGCTGCCAGCATCCAAAAGGGGTTTTTCATGTCTGCCTTGCAGTACGTAAATGAACATGCACGTGATAATGCCACTGTCCAACACCATTTACTTACCTGTCTAAATAGTTAACGATATTGGGGTTCTTATTTTCCCTCATGACCAGGATTTCATTAATAATTAGTTCCTTTTTGGGCTGCTGTTGGAGATTCATTTGCTTTATGGCCACCTAAAACGACATTGAAAATCATCAACTTGAGTAGTCCATTGCACGAGGTCAGAATGAACATGGAGAGAGTGGCTTTGGAATGACGTAGCAGAGCTGTGCCAAACTTTCTTGTTATATGGAGTAAGAGCTTAGGAACTTACATTACAACACCCTGCTTCTCTGTGGCCTGGGTGGTGCAGGACACATGGCCATTGACATTTTGCCTTATAAAAAGGGTCTTTAAACTCTTAACCACCAGTCTCTAACACCACTCTCTGGAGCTACGCTCTCAAACAGCCTTAGTTTATCACCACTATTGTTATTCATGCATTTGCAAGCAGGACGCGATTTTGCTACTGTGAAAATACCTAAAGCCAGCAGGTAAATACTTCTGCAAGTCCCTGATTTTTGATCATGATGTCAGCTACTGCTGCTACACCTGACTGCACACACAAAACACACGCACATTCGTATAAAATGCCATACTGAAAAGATCGCTAGGGTTACCCCACAACCAGTCCTAGTACTTCCCAACTTGTTCCGTTTGGGTTTTGCAATTCTAAGTAACATTCTTCAACACAGTTTGGATTTGCAAATACTTTCTGGATCAAAAAAAGTTTAATCCATTCTATGGTATTTTATGGATAACCCCAGGGTTATAAGCAGGGCTTATGGCTCTTAGGTCCCTTGCAGACTCAGTTACAAAGTGCAGTACTGCAGGTAGATGAGAAACTACCAGTAAGATCCAAATGTATCGGTGACAGCCAGAAATGGTAAATCAGAAATCTTAAGTTGTAGCACCAAAGAGCAATAGGATTCTCTAAGACATAATTTATTGCCAATATGATCCATTTTGCTCTGAACCACTGCAGCCATCCTGCCTCTGCCCGGTCCCATCTCCCACAGTCTCCAGTTGAGCTTCTCCTCCTGGCCTCCCTCCCGAGCCCAGTTCTGCCAGCCCCATCCCTCTGGGCTCAGCCCAACTTCCCTCCCTGGCACCCAGCTCCAGCCAAGACTGCAAACACACCCTCCCCAGGGCTCCCAGCACCTCCTGCCCAACACACACCTCAGGGGGAGATGTGGCCCTGTGGCTACTTAATATCTGGCCCCCACTTCCCTGTGACCAGTTTGTGGGCTGTAAAGGGCTGTCACTGCCACTGGACCTAAACATGGCTGTATGGTTTAGGAGAGCTCTTTGCTCTTGATACACACCTTCTCATTTGTCAGTATGTGTGTGTCAACTAGTGTCAGTATGACTGAACACAAAATTGCGTGCTAAACATGAGCTCTCCTTAATTAGGTCTCACATTATACTTCGAAGGCAAAACATATAATGGAAAAAATGCTAAATAGCACTGCTGCCTGAACCTGTGATTAAGATAAACTGGGACTGAACGCTGGCAGCCTCCATCAGCTAGCTGATGCATTAATATATTTAGTAATTAAGACACAGCTACTGTCTTAATTATATATCCTTCTCTGAAAGATACCACTTCCTCCCTGCATCCTTTCTGGCTGTGAATAAGGACAAAGTCTGTCTGAAATTACACTATGTAATGAACCTATTCACTCCTTATAGCAACAGGAGAGCCTGTGGCCACCCCATTTGCTCTCCTGAAGCCTCGCTTTATGACAGAGCTTTAGATTTTACTGTTTGTATTGCTAACCCATCTACGGCCAGGTCCAAAGGTAGATTTTATGCTGTAAATGTAGTATGTAGTAAAATACAGTATGTAAGTCAGAACATAATGCTATTATAATTGGCCTTAAAAGCTATGGGTGAAGCATTTCTCTTGATGCTTCACCCAAGCAGAGAGCACCAAGGCTCTTACTGCTTCCAGGGGGAGCAGGACACCCCCAAGGAATTTGCATTAGTCAATACCTCAGTGTAATGGCTGTTGGAAAGTCGATGGCCACGGGAAGTGTTCAGCTACTGAGGCACAGAAACACATTCCCCTTAAGGAGCTTCCACAGCAAAGCTGAAGACGGCAGATGATGTATTCTGCCAACTGACACCAGTCCGCGCTTAGGAGGAACAGCCTTAGCAGAAGATGTATTTTGCAGGCTGACACCAGTCTGTGCTTCAGAGGTATTTATACCTTTGCAGTACAGATGTACTGGCACCCAAAAGCCCCATCCACAGTTTGTACCACAGGGGAAAGCCCCAAATACCTGCAAACTCTGCTGGGGCTGCTGGCACGTACCTCTTGTCCTGTGGCGATGTCAATTGCTGTATAAACAGTTCCCGATGCCCTAGAAACAAAACAGCAGCAAAGAAAGGAGAAGCAGTTTAGTCCCTATGGGTGAACACAAGCCCAGATCTCTGCTGCCTGGAGTGTTTATAAATAAAAATACCTTTGTTCCTTCAACCAGCAGCGCAGCACCCTCTGCAATGCAGAGTACCCAGGATAAAACTATGTCCAACATGAAGAAAAAGGGCTCGTCCAAACCTCGAACTAAATTATTATAGCTCAACACTGAAGGTGAGCTCTACGTTTATTCTTTCTCCATTTTCACCAGTTTTGCTTTGGTTTGGGGTTTTTCTTCCCCTTTTTTCGTGGCTGTGGGTTACACAAAGGAAAGCTCTCCAGCTGTCCTGTGAGGTCACAGCTACAGCAGGTTAAGGGAGATACTGTTTCACACACACATGGACACCTACTCAAAGGATCCCCAGACAGCTTCTCTGTGTGTCAAGAGCCATCAGCAGCTGCTTCCATTAGCAGACACGTGAAGGACTCTTCATGGTGCTGATGCTTTGCTCTGTGGCAGACATCAGTTGTGTTGCAGAGCCACCAGCAGCAAATGGTGCGCTCACCTGCAGACCAGACAGCATGGGGATTTGCTTGCCATCTGCCTCTTGTTGAAAGAGGTTCTTCCCCTGTAATCATGTGAAGGGCTGGAAAAGGCACCATCAGAGGAAATCCTTCTGGGTTTAAAAGCAGCTTGGGGCTTGTAAACCCTAATGGGGTTTCCTTCTGGGCTAAACCATAGTTTTACACTGCCGTCATTTAAGTCCGTATCTGCATGGGCAGTGAGGCCAGGGTGGGAATTCTTGGAACATGCATCCGGCAAGTGTCCCACTGACTGAAAATGCCAACATCAGTTTGCTCATTCTGAGGTGATCCCTGGCCTCTTTACCTGCAGGCTCAAATACTTGTGAAGCATTGTAGTTCAACAGGCACAGAGACTGTGTGTGTTGAGAACAGTGTTCTCATTGGGCACGCTATGTATTCTTTTAATATAAATGCAAATGCATTTTCCTATGACTAATTGTCGAGATTAATCCAATTTGTTTTCATAAAAAGCCAACACCATTTATTCAGACTCGCTAATGTTGTGCTGTGCTCCTCAGCAAAGTCCTATCAGAGTTCATTTAAAACCAGCTATTTAAATTAGGATGCTTTTGCTCTGCTCCAGGCCATCTGCGAGGAGCTGAGATAAAGGTGAGTAATTTAAGTAAAGCTGTGAATTAATTGCAGGGGCTCCAATTGTGCATTACCAACTTTTACTTCTAAGCAACTGCAATTCCCGATCTGTATCTACCTTTTAAAAGCTTCTGTAGCATCTTGGGTTTAATGCAGTTAGGCAAGTACCAGGGCCCACAATTAGATCCGTGTCACTGTGATGCAGTGCAGTACAAGTTAAAAAACCAGCCTGAACCCAGGCTGCTCCTGGCTCCGTACTCATTTGTCTTTCTAGCAAGAGCTAACACTGCCTGAGCAAACACAGCCTCTTTATCAAGCACAAGTTAACCAAGTTCCCTCCGGCGTCAGCAGCGTGTTAAGTCCTCAACTGGAGACTGATGACAAACCAGAAACTCAGCACTGAAGCTGACCTGTTCTTCAGAACAGCCCTTCTGACTACTGCTCACTGCAGAGTGCCTGTAAAGCCCTCACACTGTTCATTAACTTACCTGCCCTATGAGGCCATGAGGTGCTACATGCTGGACAAGCTGCTTTTCCTTATGTACAAAGTTGCTCTCTGCCGGCAGTCCGAGCAGCCATGTCTCTTGCTGCCTTGCAGTGCTCTTATTAGCAGCTACTAAAGACTACCCACTTCCAACACTACTCATGCCTTTGACATAACTATACACATACAGTGCAGGGGTGGGCAGGAACTGGCACCATCAGTAAGCCCATCAGCACCCATTCAAGGCACTACATCTCAGCCCAGCCCTGCTGACCCTAGCCGTGCAGCAGCCTGGTTCCTCCTGATCATCCCGTTTCATTACCTTTGTGATGACTTTTTTCTTTAGGATAAACGATGTGGATATCATCCCCATCACTGACCATGTTTGGAGCTTGCCTGATTTCATGCTTGATGTGACACCAGCAAAATACCCAGCCCACATTTTTGTGGAAGTAACTGGGACTGGACTTACCCTTGGCCAATTTTCTCGAATCGAGTGTATTTCTTCTTAGGATCTCCCACACTCACAATGCTCCCTGAAAGAAACAAAGATGCTCACTTAAAATGAAGACACCACTTCCAGCAGATCAGAACTGCAGCTCCACTCTCTGGGGTTGTGAACTCTTTGTAGTCAGTTGGGTAACACCACCACAGGCAGCTCCATGGCACAGATGGCCTCCACAAACACTGATTTTCTACAGTCCTTTGGAGAGTTAGTCCTTAGGAGACTAAGAACGTGGAGAATCATTCACAAGAGCACTGTCAGAAAAGAACAGGTACCAATGCAAGTGTTTGTTGACTATAAACATTAATGAGAGCTGGAACAACAAAGCTTTTATGGATAAATACCGTGTGTGATTCAAGAGAAGGTTTAATAGTTCAGAAGATTAAATGCACCTTGTGTTCTGGAATCAGTTTTTACCATCAGGTGCCATTTTCAGAACAGGAAGAATACTGCAAAGTGTTTCCAGGAGGGGATCTTCTCAACCTCTCGGCACTTTGCCATAAGAATGCCTTTGTGTTTTCAAAGATTATGTTATAATGAGTAATTATGGGGCCTTAAGAACTATGACCCTCACCATTTCTTACCGGGTTCTGAGGAAGACCCTGTCCGTGCCATGTTAAGAACCACACTGCTTGTCTTCAACCTGACCCAGCTCACTAACTCACATTTCACTTGCACTCTCAGCAGCGCACACACGCGGATCTCCCCAGGCACACACAGCCGTGACGGGTACCAGGACTCCCGAGGCACCAGCGTTACCCACACACACAGAGCTGCACGGAGGAGCTGCTGCAGTGCGAGGAGTGCAGGTGCCGCGGCTCAGGCAAAGCCAAGCCAGGCCGGCCCGGGTGCTGCCGCCTCCCGGCAGCTCTGCGCTGGAGCAGCGGGAAGGCAGAGCCGGCCTGCCCAGCGCCAGGCGTGCAGCACTCCGGGTCCATCGGCCCCATGGAGCTCGTGTGCCCCTGAAAGCTGCAATTAAAGCACTCGCTGCTCTGTGTTTATCAAACGTGAGAGCCAAAACCTGATAAGCTCAAATCTGAGGGAATAAGCACAAAACCAATATTGTTTTTTCTGGTCTGGTGGCTTCCCAGATCAAGTACAAACGATGAAGCCTAAGGTGATGGCTCAATGAGAGTGACTTCTAAAGATTTAACTTGGAAGGTACATCACTGAAATACCTGAAGATTAATTAAGGAGGAAAGACTTCCAGTGTGTCACAGCATATTTTGTTTGACTGATCTGGCACTATTCCTGTATCACACACACTTATTTGTCCACTTGTGCATCCAAAACAAAACTAGGTGATGCACCATTCGCTGTAAGTAGTAACAAATACCTCTCTCCCCCCCGTCCAGGCCATTTCTTTGGAGCAGAGGGCTTTAGCATCCAAATGGGCATCTGACTGAATGCCTGGCCAGGAATACTGCCTGCCAGCACGGCACGAAGACAGGACATCAGCACCATCTGGTACACTCCCTGCTAAAAGAACATTGCTGGCCTTGGCAAGATCCCCAATGCGAGCTGTGGGAGAAGAGGCTTCCTTTGCCGCATGGCACTCACTCCTCTTCCCTGGCACTGCAGGAACATCAGGAGTGCTCACTGTGGCACAGCCCCAGCAGACTCTGCAGTACTGACACAAACACAGCCATAACCCTGCGCTGGGCTGGACAACAGGAAAACAACACTGTGCTGCCAGCCTCAGCCTAGGTGCTATTTTCAGCTAGTTAATGGAGAGGGTGTCTACCCGAACAGACAGAGAAGTTCAAGGAAGTTTGTGTTAGTAAAGAATAAAGAGCAAGACTGCAGAATAAGCATTTTGAAATCGAATTTTCCAAATTTGCCACCGATTTTGCAGGTCAGAATTCTGGAGTTTTTCTTCAAGGCTGGAGTAGTTGCTTCATGAGTTAGTTGTTTGTAGCTGGTTTCCTGTGCTTAAGCCAATGCACATTCTAATACGACAGCACTAAAATCAACAAAGTGACTGGTACGTGGCTGCAGTTCAGAGCAGCACTCCCTACTCTGGACAAAAGATACATGTTATCAGCCATTTTGATGTCTTTAAGCACTTTCCTTTATCAAGTCCTAAATTAAGTGGATAAGAAGCAGAATTGGGCCACTTGTGTTTTATAATTACAGTGGGACATATTCGTGATTTCATTACAGGCAGAATTCTGTTTGATCTTATCTCAGTATTACAGGCTTTGCTCCCCAGTAAAACTTGCAATGAAAGTGGTTCTAAAAAAACCAGGGTTATTTCCAGCAGAACAGAATTATGAAAGCAACTGAAGATGAAAGAGGGCAGAGGACATCTTCCTGAAGTATAAAAATCAATTGTGGGGGAAGCAGGCAGGTGGAGAAGTCATAAGAGTTAAACCAAAACAGAGAAAACCCCAACCACCACACAGGCTAATCAGCCCAGGACTGTTAACAAAAAAGCATCACCCCTGTTTCCAGATAGCTTCATGAAAGCACAAAAAGATTTTCATTGTCCACATCACAGTTTGCCCAAGGCAGAGCTTCAGACCTTGCTCACTTGGTATCAAATTCATAAGAAAGAAAAAGCATGAAAGCATGTAACATTCCAAATACATAACCCACAATAACTCCAGGGCTCAGTCCTAATCTGGCTGACACACACGCTTGAGCAATGCCAGGCACACTTGGGTTCATGTGCGCAGGCTACCTGCAGATCTCATGGTGGAAGCCTGCCTCAAACATTTATCCTTGGCTGTAGAAGCTGTAATTCCTCCCTTTATAAGCTGACATACCTGCAGGTAACTTATCTGCTCTGGAATTTACTTCATTGTGCCCTCAAATAAAGCTACTGAACTTACCCCTTGGATACTCTCTAACAGCAGAGAGATTCAGTTCTTTATAGTCCTGTCAACCCGCTAAGGGTACAAAAAACTCTACCCAAGCAGCTGAAATCTCACAGCTAAGGAGGGCTTCAGCCTTTGCAGCCAGAGCAGCCATCAGTGGCAGGGGCAGGTATAACAAAACAGTTCACGTAGCGCAAGAACAAGCGTTGACAGCCACTAAGAAGCCGCAGCCAGACTGCACCCCTTTACAAACAGCTGCCCCCATTAAAGACAGACCATTACTGGCTTTGAGATCAAACACAAGGAGGCATGGATCAATCCACTTCTTGTCCTAACAGTTAATGGTAGACACAGAGTAAACTGGGCTACGTTACGAACCCAACAATTTATCATCTGGGAGCGTAGCACTGGCAGCTATTATGTGCAAGCAGCAGAGTAAATTAGTTGTACTGCAGAATCACAAAGGGCTTGATTCCTAGTGTTTTCCTAGAGCATGATCTGCACAGGGCTTTGGGGCCAACGGTTAGGATTCTAACAGTATTAACTGGCTGGGAATTAGCTATGACAAAGTGCCATGTATGTGAGGAATATACACAGTGGATGCGCTGGAGACTGGCTCCTGAGAAATGCCTGCAGTGCAGTTTCACCCAATCACACCACACAAACGTATCTCTGATACATCTTTATAAGCACATAGCTAAGAAATGAAATAAGGATTGTTATCAAAGTTGTTTTTCTTTTGAGTACATTAAAAACACCTCTTCCTCTCTATCCGCGGTATCAGCTTCAAAAGAGTTCTGACAGAAACACAGGATTCTTCTAACTCTGATATACTAGTAAAAGTAGGAAAAACTATCATAGAAATGACACCAACAGAATATCTGGGGCATGAGAGCTCCTTGAGGCTAAAGAATCAGCTGAGTGTTCTGGCTGTCTACTGGTACAAGAAACCCCCCAACACAAACAAATAAACCCAACAGATTTCTGCAAAGCATTCCGGCTCCAAGAAAATTCTCTTTACACTTCAGGAGTCTAAAGAGAACTTAGGCACCCAAATTTCCTGTTCCATTTGGCCATTAGCACACAGGAGTTCACTAGGTCACAGCCCTCTGCTCAACCAGAAACAGTCTCTGCTTTTGCCTTTAGCACAGTAGGAAGCTCAGGCAAATCCAACCCACTGTTCGCTGCCCTCAGAGGCAGAAGGAACATCCAAAGTGCTCTCTTACTCCCTCTAAATTTGCATAGGGCACCATAAGTGACTCTGTGACACTGAACCGAGGATGAACATTTGGTGCATGCAATCCTGAGACACGCATACAGCACACTGCTTTATCAGGCAAGAAATCCAGGACACATACTCAGCTTCTCCAGGATCTCCTCATCGGTCATCTTGGACTTTTTTCGCTGCCGGTCTGTGTTTCTGTACAAAGTGCTTGTGTTTGAGTTTTCAGGCTGGGGAGTGGTGGCTTCTTTAGCTGGTGCTGGTGCAGCGGCAGGTTCGATTACAGAGCGCGTGTAGATCTGTGACAAGAAAGTATTCTGTGTCAGAAAGGTGCTTGCAGAGATGCCCCTGAGATCACATTTCAAATGCAAACCCTTAGGAAGATGCCCTCGGCCACATCCAAGGCTCTTAAAATGCTCGGGTTTGCTGTCCACTGCTCAAACTGAACAGAAAGAAGCAAAAGGCCACTTTAACACAAGTTCAGAGCCAGTTTCATTTACAATTTTCATTGTTTTTTCTGAAAGATAACTGAAACAATGAACTTACTGCGTTGGAAGGATATAAAAATAGATGTGTCCAGGGCCCCACAGCCTTTTTTGTGATGCTCATGTGTTCTGATGAGTAACAATGTGACTCTTTAGTTGGTACGTGCCTGAAGAGAAGCAGGGAGCATTTCCCTTTTCTGATGATAACTGCAGAACTGACTTCTCATCAGTATTGCAAGCTTTAGGGAGTGGCCATTAGGACTTGCAATCAGAGACCTACCTTCTCTTTACAAAGCACAGCTGTGTAGGATTCTTCTCCTCAACCTTCAGTCTTGTAAAGTGAAGGTGTAGCCTAAGCAGTTCATTTAACTACTTGCATAGCTTGTGGGGAGGAACAGGCACCTCCAGGCAACAGTTTCTGCCATGAAGCCTGAAAAGCTGTGAACTGCATCTGGTGACCACTCTCTCCACTGATGACAAGACAGCCTACACAGATACTTTGGACAAAGCTGCTCACTTCTACACCGGTAGCATTAAAAGAGACAATGCTACCTCTGATCTGATACTAAGATGAATTCACAGTCCCTATCACAGGGAACTCATTACTCCATGTGAAGGTTCAAACCTCCTAGTGTCAGCAGCTTGGGTGAAGCACTAGGTTGTGGTAGGACTCCAGCCCTCAATCTTCATTCACGAATGGCAAGTGCTGTCTGATCAGAAACACAGAGCTCTGAATTACAGCAAACACACTGCTGACCAAAGCTGGACTTACTGATTTTGTATGTTCAGGCCGTGGTGCGATAACCGGTGGAGGTTCATTGTCATCTTCCTCTTCATCATCATCTTCATCCTCTTCTTCAGAAACAGAGGGAGCTAGTGGGGGTTCTGATGCTGTTTTAGTGCTCTGTGGACAGAAAGCAGCACGAGTGACAGTCACCATTCTGCACCTGGGAGGTTTGTTAAAGCACACAACTTTAGTCTGCTTAGACACCAGAAACCAGCCTAGACACATGCCTAGACACAGTCCTTTGGGCCGCAGTTCCAAGTTACACACAGCACAATACAACTTAAAGGTTACACATTACTGTGCTGTTGTCTTTTATGTGTCTTGGTGGTTTTCACGTTTTGCTAAGAACAACTAAATCCTTCCCATGCTCAGAGTCTGATTTCGCAGAACGTAACACTTGAATCTATCACGAGAAATCCCATGCAGTTACTGGCTAATTGCTTTGGCATTGTGTCTGCACAAATGGTAACAGGTAATTAAGCTAACAGGTGTCTACTGGCTGGTTAATTAACACACTTCAAAGTGCAAAGCCTCCTTCAGCATCTTGCTGGGAATTTGGGTTTGGAGAGAAAGAGAGAAAGGCTGTTTGCTTCTTTACTACTTTACCCGTGGGTATTGCCTGTTTCTAAAGGACTTAAATTCACCGTTTCAAAGCTCCTTCAGCCCCATCCTCCTCTTAACCTAGTGCTAAGTTAACACATTGATCTTTCAACTGTTTTCCTGTTTCTGACCACAGCAATAACCCAGGGTGAATGCAGCCCTCTCAGAGCAAGGCGCATCTCCCCCCACCAGCTACTCAGAGCAGGGGGTCCTATCACATTGTCACAATGGGCTGGTGAAAGAAAGACTGAAAAAGTGCCTTGTTCAGTGTTTATCAAGTGCTTTAAAGCTGGCTACAACAAGCCACTTGGGGAGCTGAAGCAAATCAAAGGCACTCTTCTGTATGTGCACATCTCATTTGTGTTCTCCTTAAAATGGCATCAATTTAGTCCAGTACAAATACCAGTAAGGGACGTCCTGCAGGAGAGACCTGAGCTGGTAACGTCTGAAAGCTGACATCCTGTCTCACTCTCGGTATCTGCTAGAACAAAATACCACAGCATTTACCATGGGTCCATACCCACTGGAAAAGCTATTGGGAATGCTTACTAAAGTTTTATTAAAGATAATGAAAGTGGCATCAATTGAATGTCTGAAGCGTGCGAATATACAAAGATGATCTTCTTTTCATTATACATACTCTGTTGTGCAATCACAGACCTACAATTAAGTTGCTTCATACCTGAAAATAAAGGCTCAATCCCCATTCAGTCATTTGCTATTTAATGCACTAACATTAACATTAATAAATCTGGTCAATATTAATGTGGATGTCATGGCTACATCTCTGGGATTGCTATGGTAAGGCAGAGTTAATTAGAGTGGGGGAGTAGTTAAAACTTCCTTTCACCGGTTCCATATCAATTACAACCTTATACATATTCAGCCACACACTCAGCTGTACTAAGGCTAAATCATAAAACTTAACAGAAATGGATTCTAAGTTGTTAAAACTAAATTAAAAAGGGCTAATTAGACAGTTGTGTGTATTGTTGTGAATTACATATCCCAGCATGGCTAAGAACAACAAGCAATCTTCTGTCTGCAAAACCAGACTTGCATCTGTTTAAGGGATGTTAAAGAGAAAGTTAGGGAACAGCCAGTGATTCCTCCTCTGCTGCTGCAGAGCACTACAATGCACTGTCTGTCATTCAGCCGGCAAGGCTGGCACTCCATCACAAAAGCAAAGCTCACAGCTTGTTCCACAGTTCTTAAATGCTATGATAGTAAGAGGTTCCTTCCACACTCACCGAAGGATGGGCTTCTATGTATCCATGGGCGCTTTTATCTGCAGTGTGCAAGGGAAAATTAACCACATGCTGTTAGAAAACTGCCTGGTGTGGGGAGTCCCACAAAACAAGTACATTCAAACAGACGGCATTTTTTTGGACAACATCCTTCCACTAGCAGCAGTTATTTCAAGTAGCAAGCAAGATAACAGGACAAGATACTAGGCTATTATTTTTCTGCAGTTTCTGTGTCTGTTTTTTGCCAGTGAATAAAACAAATAGAAACTTGGTCAAGAAAGTTCAAATTGTTCTTTAATAGCCAATGCTTCTGTTCCAGCCAAGAGCTAAAGCAGCTTCTTTCCTTTTTTCAGTTAACCCATTGCATGCATTGATTCTCTTTAACTTGCTGAAAATGTTTTGCCATAAAAGCCTCCCCAAAATCACCCTTAGCAGTGGCAGTTCTGTCCTGGCACAGCGCAGCAGCAGCTCCTGCGCTCAGGAGCATACACTGCTTAAAACATTTCATCACAGAAGTAATTGCTGTTTCAGCAAACACAAGCATCAAGTTTGAGAGTCAAATCTTCTAATTATGGAGTTTCTAAGAAAAAGATGCTTTCCCTCAACGTGAGAGAAATGCTGGTAAAGTTGGAGCTCTCCCCGTCTGCATTTTAGAAGTTGTGCTGGTTGAACCAGCAAACTGAGGAAATCACAGACTGCTGCCACAGGCTGTCATGGGTATGGAACTGACCCACAGCAGGCTGAATTACAAATGCTGTCCACATGCCCTTGGACAGAGACACCCCCTTATTACCTGGAGCTGTTGACGCCAGCTTCACCAAACTAATGGTATCTTAATGGCACTTTTGTTTAAAACTCAACTCGGTCATTAAGGAATAGCAAAAGAACATGTTGACACAAAAGCCAGATAAGCTGCACCTAGTTAAACCCTCTGCTTACTTGCTTGGCATGTCAGCTGCAGGAGTGAGTCTAGTAAATAAAAGAGTGAGCCAAATAAAGAAAACCACACGCTGCAGCACAGTCTTGCTCCTTCATTTTCACAGTGCCATGCTGCAGTTTTGCAGACTCTACACAAGGGAAGGAAAGACACCCCCATCGTGTCTGCTGGCTCCTTTTGGATGGCAATGCCTAAGTCATGATGATTCTGCTATGGAAACTGCTCTGGACACTGACTCTTCCTTGCACATCCTCTGTGGCAACATTCCTTTTACATCACAATAGCAGCCTTTTTAGGTTTGTTTGTGTATTATGCATAGAAACTTCTCTACAGCTATTGCACACAAACCCTTGAAAATTCTCCTCCATGACAAAGTATCACCAAAAATCCTCATCGTTCATAACCTGTCTCTCAAAGGATGCATAACTCCTGAAATGCACAGAATGAGTTTACCCTGTACCCCAGTGTGAACACTGTGAAAGAACAAGGATGTGAGGGAACAGAAGGAAACACAGCCTTTGGCCACCAATGCTTCTGACTAAAAATGCTAATGATTGTTCCATCTAGTACCTTATTGAGTTTTAAAAGCAAGCAACAAAGAAAACTCAGTTTCAGGGACATTTAGGGGACACAAGGAGAAATATAATTGATTACAGGAGTATTTCTAAGGCTACTTCTTGACCACTTGAATGTGGAACTTTGGTCTGACTCATTCTGGGGCCTGACACTCCCTTCTTCGCAGCGAGATGTCGACTTACCTCCTGACGTAAAGCTCATGTATTTCTGGTTGTTAACTGTTTCTTTGGAATCGTAGAACTTGAGAACATCTAGAACAGCTTGTGGGTTCTTCTTCTGCTCCAGCTTGGTTATGTTGGAGGTCTGTAGTAGCCTGGCCCACTGCTCTGGAATGCCCTGCAGGTGTCAAGTGGAAAGAATGTGTGTTTAGAATATTTAACAGCCACAGCCTCACAGATCTTTACCAAGATCCCATGCTACCTGTAAGATTACTTTGAGAAATATTGATTGACACCCTACAATTAAAATTAGGAGCCTACACATCAGATGCAATCATTCTGTTCTCTATCAAAATACAGAGCTACAACCGGGATCCAACTTTAAAAAGAAAAGAAAGTTATGACTGTGATAGGAAAAAAAGTGCATGAAGCTCATCTTTAAATCAACCCTGCTCTTCCATGGAATAATGAGTTAAGGCTTAGCTTGTTTTCCTGGTGATTCAGTGCAGACATTACAAGGCTATTCTATGTTTGTGGACAACACAGTATATTTTAGGAGCTTTACACTGGATTTTTAATGCTTAATAACACAAACACATTTTGCTGAGACATTCACTGCTGTCGGATTAACAGGATAACCCCATCCTTATCCAATTAATTTTCAGCATACCAGGGAACACTGTGGGGTTAAGAATCTGCATTTAAATCCTCAAAATCGTGACCCTGAGTTGTACCACTGCTGCTGAGGGTGCCTCTTTATCGAGCTCCTGTAGCTCAGTCGGTTCTTTAATGTAAATATACAGAAACCAGGGACTCGGAGAACAGGCTGAGAGTGCCAAAGCCTTGGAGGAGCTCTCAGACATCTGATGAGTGAGGGTGGCATTTGAAAATTGATCCAATCAGTGAAAGCTGCAGCTCTGCATTGGAAACGTATTGATGGAAAATTGCTTTAAATATCCAGTATAATTTCCTAAATTTGAAAGCCTGTAATATTGCCCCATTACTGCACAGCCAACATCTACCAGCAAACTGTAGGACTTACTGAATGAGAAACCACACCTGAAGCATCATTTACATTTAGCCTTAGTGCCACCCCAATCTGGGAAACGCTTTCTTCCTAAGAAGTTCTCCACAAAACAATGTGTGACATGGGCCTCCAAAGTTTAGGATTAATGACAAGAAGAGTGGGATAAGCCAAGCAACAAATCTACTGCACACACATCAACCTGCTGCTGCAGTGCTATGACATCTCAAAGAAGCATTTGGATGCAAGATTCTTTTGGGCCTGTGACGCACCTCTGGGAGCTTCCCTGTGCACATCTGTGAGCCATAGAGATCTGGCTGTAATGGACGTAAATAAAGAAAGAAAAGAAAGTTAAAACAGAATGTGGGACAACTTAGAAGGTGGTAGGAGGAAACCAATGGGCCAAAATGGGGAAGTCCCATCTAAAATGGGAGTTACGAGGTAGGTAACAAATGGATTAGGTGGTGGACAGGCTACAGGAAGGCAGGCTTAGGGAAACAGAAAAATCACAACTGTTCCAATGTTTGGAAGCATCTTTCCCCCTCCTCTTTTTTTAAACCAGTTTTTCTCTCCCTCATAAAAATACATTACTGGGGATTAAAGCAAGTGACTGGAAAAATTACCGGTGATCTCTTTAGTAAAAAATAAAAATAACAGAGAAAGATCTGGGCTTTTGCTGTTTGCCTCGTTTGAAAGCCAGGTCAGCATTTTTTAACGGCTCTACATTAAGTGTTTTCCAGTGGTTCTCCAGCCCCAGGATCACAACTGGCCAGCGTAAGAGCCAACAAAGAGCAGCGGAAAAAGCAGCTGATCAGACTCAGACTTCACACTGGGAGACTGGGTACGGTCATAACACAACCTGTGTGTCAGACTGACAATCAGGACAACTCTAAAGGAATGACCGGTCAGGTTAATAACCTGTAACCTCCTTAGATCTACAGCCACAACCTTTTCCCCCACTTGCTAATGTCATAATCTTGACACCTGAGAAGCTTGGTGGGTGACCACGTTTTGTTCTAGACTGGGGATCAGGAAACTGTTTCAGAAACGCATGCCTTACAAAATGCGCTCCCCAATACACTCCTTCCTCCAGGCAGAAAATGCAACTGCTCCTTCAAAATAAACCAACATAAAGCTCTAGCAGCATGCTCCCACCCAATGGTTTCCAACCAACTCCATTTTGAGCTTTAAAAGCTCTCCTTCTAAGCAAATGTGGTTGCCCCAAGCACAGTGAAATGTAGATACAACACGCATTCATGAGCAACAACACAGCTTGGTGCTCAAGCCTGAAAGCTGTAACTCAGGAGTCCATGCAACTTTGACTTGGGATGCAACTAAGAGCAGTCAGATAATGCAGCTGGGGTGTGTGACTGTCAGGTGTCAGAAATGGCCCAATGCATTGCACATAGGCAGTGGAGCAGACACTACTGGCATGACAACTATAACAATTCAAACCAAACCCCCCAGGTATTTGCACATTTACTGGACATTCCCATGTCACTTCCAAACTTCTGAAGGAGACAGGCAGTGTGATCGCTAGACAGTGGGAATATCTGTACATGATATGGCTAGTGGCAGTCCCTTGAGCAGGACGTACTTACCACGTAACTACCCAGCTGATACACGGGTTGTATCCAGGTTGGGACAAATCAAACATGCCTAGTGTGATGTGCAACCCAACACCTGCATCTGGGATTACTTGGGAGCTGATAGGAACTGTAGGAACAAGTATTGCTGCAGAAGTATTGTGTCATTGTAAAACAGCAGCCACCTAATGTCTGCTGTTTTGAAAGGGAAAAAGATTTTAAAATGAAGCGGTGCTACAGCAGTAAAGCTGGACATGTTTAGCATTGTACAATCACTCTGTTCTACAAAAGGCCAGGACCTGTGCTGGGGGCATCTGACACCAAAAACAAATTAAAAACAATAATCAAAAATCCCTGATGCTCCTGTTTTGACACACTGGATGACAATCAAAACATTCAAACTGATGTCTCAAGTACTGATAGAGAGTGCTTGTGCTGAGGACTCAAACGTATTCACCTCAACATCCCTCCTTTTTGATGCAGCTGGCAGGGGCCTGAGACTAACTGGGATCCTCACCACCAGTCAGCCTACAAGAGAACATGTTTGTGACCCATCACATTTTCACAGAGCCACAAGGAAAAAGTCTGAAGCACAGGGTAGAAATAAAGGCAGAAGGCTGAAAGAAGAATAAATATAGAATAAGAACAGCTGAACATTAATGGGGAGAGCAGTGAAATGGGAAAGAAAGGAAAGAAAGAAAATAGAAGATAAATAGGAACGTGGGATGCAAATACAAGAGGGAGAAAACAAAAGCAGAAAGTAACACAATTCCAAGATAGAGAATGGCATTGAAGATTAACCTGAACAAAGTGCCCACATGGGAGAGACTGAGAAAAAATAAGAGGAAAACCAGGACAGACAGCAGGGAAAACACAGTTTTGAAGGCTTTACGCAAAGATTCTGATCAAAAATGACCACATCTGGGTTTTTTAAATAAGCATTTAATCAAGCCCTAGGGTTTGGCACAGAACACATTCTGAAGTAAGATTTTTTAAGTGACATCTATTTTATAAAGGCTAATGAACTAGTCTGCATACTTTAAACGTAGCTGTACCTCCTCATTACTAAGGATAATTCAATTTCACTCCTCCTTTGAAGACACGCTGCCATTAGATGTGTCTTTTCTTCTACTGTTACTGTTATTATTACTATTGCTGCTGTAGCACACACAGTTTCTGAACTGCCTGTGAGACCCAAAAGTAGCAATCAAAGTAAAAACTGATGAAGTCACGTTAGGACTCACATTCTGAAAGCGAGCCACCTTTTTTCCAGGCAAATGATTTGTCCCATCCTGTTTGGTGTATGCAGCCTGTCAGCATTAGCACGCTGCACAATTCGACGCATGGTGCTAACACAGTCTGACCACTTAGCTCACAGGGTACTGCTGATGGTACGAAGAGTTGCTTGCTAATGCTTCCTCTCCCCTCCACAGCTCAACCAAGTGTAGGCTTTCTGCCACCTTAGCTTTAAGGATTAATGGCTTCAGCACTTAACTAGCAGTCTGAAAGAGAACGCTTTCAGCCCCCTGCACACCTCAAGGAGCTCCTATCAGACTCATTTTTCCCAACACTTCATTGTGATGCAGGCAGAAAAAGCTGACTGCTGTTTTATTAATACATAAAGGCTAGAAACGTGTCTGACCACCTAGCCTATGGACATACTTTGAAAGATATTGAATTAAAATGAATGGACATCCACAATGCTGCTGCTGCCTGGTGTCTCCAAGGGCTGTCTGCAGAGCAGCTGGACTTTGCACTTTGGGACTGATTTGTCTACAGCCAGACTATGCACATGTGCGTGGGTTTCTTTATGCTTTCCCAAAGACGCTGAGTAACCAACCCCTGTAGCAGCCTGTGGGACTGATAAAAGCACACACCTACGTTCTTCCTAGTTTTCATTTGCCACAGACACTCTGCTGACAATCCTTGGAGAAAAAAACCATAAAGCAGCCTGAATCAGAAGTAACCCACTCCAAATCTTAAGCCCAACAAATGAAAGTCTCTTTCTTCACAGCCTGGCTGCTGTCATCTGACGTTTCTGGCAACAGGAGGTTATTTTACCAAGAAACTAGAAGCTCTGGTAAGCAGGCAAGGCAGTGTGGTTACTTACTGTGAATTCTCCAGTGACGGCATCAAATCCCACATGAATGGTATGTTCAAAGTCTGAAGGAAGAGAGATCTCAGGACGTTCTTTCTCTTTCTTCTTGTTGGCTAGAGGCAAAACGTTAACACGCACTTATTTTCTGGGCAGCTTTGCAGTCAAACATTTTCTCTAGCAGGTGCGCTCAGAACAGTACTTCACACGTGGAAACCAGATCAATTAACATCCATCTCACTTGACAAATAGACCCAAGCTAATATACACCAGCCTAGCTGTCAACCCCTGCCTGGGAAGGTCTACGTGGTGTAACTTCATTCTGATTTTCTTCCAACCAGTATCACTGCTGCCAAAGCAAGCTGTCCTTGAAGTAGTCATCTTAGGCTATTTCTAACCAGTATGATTTCTGTTATCAGTTCTGCTCTTCGTCAAGCTTTTATATCTAGCAACTAAGTCCTGTTTTGACTTTGCTCTGTGGGTTCCTGCAGAAGCAAAGCACCCAGCACACACACGTGCATGCCTGTTTGCATGTGTGTCTCTTCTCCAGCGTACTTTGAGCCTGTTTTCAAGCTCAGCCAAGTTAGAGAGGAGAAGTTCTGTAAGGTAATGAGGTTCCTACAAGCCCTGTGAAAACAGGCAACTGAGGAGAAGGCTCCTCTCAGATTAAAAGGCTCAAGCAGCAGCTCTGTATTAGAAACCACAGAATCTGCACAGCAACAAGATCCCATAAATGCCATTGGAAAAGCTTCATTTGAGCTGCTCATTAGCTAAGACGTATAGCCATAAAAGCCAGGCTTTATTAGTCTCCAGGAATTCCTTGTTTTATATCACTCTGAGTATTCACAGAGTGTGAAGAATCTTATTGAAGGAGACAGACCTGAAAGTCACTCAGCTGCATATATTTCTCATCTCCCTTCTATTTTAACATCTTTTGAAGGCAACATCCCTGGTGGTCGGCCATCTCTTGTGCTTTAATACTATTGACAAATTTCACTTCAGCCCAGTTTTATTGATTCTGATAACAAACGAGTGAATAAAGGCTGAGAGAAGCTGCCTTCACTCTGAAGCATCAAGAATCCATGTTCAATAGAGATTTCTCTGAAAAATAGTGACAACAATGGCAGTTCTGGACCACTCCCAGACATCCAGATAAACACAGAGTACATCCATCTTCAACCATCTATCCTGCTGGCAGGTACCTGAAACATTTGGCTTCCCTGGAAAACCAGTGTGCTCCAAGACTATTACATGGTTGAACAATACAGTACAGAACTACCTGTAGGATCCTCTCTGGTGGTAGCGGTGTATCTGTAATAGCCAAGAAGGGAACTGCCTTCCTATCAAATACATCTGTCACTGAAACTGGGGAAAAATCACATGCTAATGATTGGAACAGCGCAAATATCACAGTGCCCACAGATACACAAGAGGTTTATACTGTGCCTATCACAAAGGGACTCTATATCAGGATCTCTATAGGCCAGTGTATCACCATCTATTAATGATAATATCAAAAGTGAATACCCATGCCATAGCTACACATCAACAGGAGAGAAGGGAACAGTTGTTCAGGTCCTGCCTTTGCCTGACATATTCCCTTAACACAGGGCCAGTCTTCATGCGCACGTTATGCACATCAAAACCAGCTGGATGAAGACAATTTTGTTTGTTTTACTCTACCTTATAGCTTCCTTCAGTTGGAAGATGCTCTGCTCTTCATAATTACAGTCCAGAGTAGTTTGGATGTTTCTAATGCTTTCTCTGCACTGTTCCATTTATCCTCATTAAAAAATTAACTGTCACCCCTTGTCTGCACTGCACACCCCTACACAATGTTCACTGATGAATTATTTTCATTTAGCATTCAGTAAATACTGCAGCAATATATCAAATACAAATGCAAAGGCTTTTCCCCTTCTTTTATCTCTTAAGATGATGTTGTGTAATTTTCAGGATAGATGTTGCCAGTTACAAGTTGTCATCTCCGTTCAGCATATGTAACTTTCTATTGCAGATAACAGAACTGGCTTCTCCCACCTCATCATTTACAAGCAAATGCAGTGAAAATTAAGATTTAAAGGATCATCAAATTCAGTTCAAAACAAAAGTCAAATCCAGAAGCAAAATTAGGCATTCCATCAAATGCAGCACCTGCCCATTCCAGGCCTCTCCTGCCGGGGACAAGCGTTCCAGCTCATTCCCCAAGATCTGGCTCATCTGCTTCATGCACCTTTGCCTACCAGACTGTGGATGTAACACCTATAGTCCAAATGCTGAAAAGCTGCAAATTAAATATACAATTAAACATCTTGAAACACCCTCCTCCCTCCCCAGCCTAAAACCCCTGACATTTCTGTCTGTGCCCTGCAACTCAAGTTGCTTCTGTTTTACATAAGCTGGCAAAACCATACAAGAAGGCACGACTTCCTTGTAGCCATGACTGAGTGCATTCAGGGGTATTTCATTTTCTTATACATGCCCCTCACAATACACCCCTCCTGCCACGGTGGTTTCTTCACGTTCTGTTTACTAGTGGTGCACTGTTACCGTAAAACTGTGATGCTGCAAAGCACTGCACTAGATGAGAGCAGCTGTATCAATCCCCTTCTGTTTTATAAGCAGGACTCTCAAAAAACGCGTCACTGAACTTGTGAAGCACACACAGGTTAGGTTGGTTTGACCCACAAAACAACCCCAACATGAAACCACCTCAAGCAGCTTGGCCAGCCAAGCTACACGTTCTCTATTATTTCAGCAACAAAATTAAGCTATAAATCTTAGCTTACTTTCCTTCACATCACATTTTAACTCATGGTACGTGTATGTTTTCGATGACTGCTCTGTCTGGTAGGTCAAGACATTTTTAATGTCACTGATCATTTCCAGGAGGGTTTGCCTCTGGAGCTGCCCATTTCTGCATGTGTTTCACACAGCACCTCCTCCTTAAGAAATGTTTCCTCGGAGAGGGATAATACCATTCTGCTGGCAGTAAGGGCAAGAAGCGACCCAAGGCCTTGCAGGAATTAAGCCGGGAGGGATTTTCATTTTGGCCTTTTTTTGTTTGCGAAAGGGGACATTTTGGAAGCACTCTGCAGAGTGAACCGGCCAGCTCTGCCTGAGGAACGGGCCCATGCAGGCACAGCCTTCACACAAGAGGCTCACATGGAGGCTCATGAATCCTTGTTGACTCTTCCTGACCACATTCTTGTCCTTCATTTGTGTTGAAATGATTTCCAGGAGGGTTTGCTCAGCTAGCTTCCCAAGGACAGGGCGAGGCTGACTGACCCATAGTTCCCCAGATCCTCCTGCTTAAAGGCAGAAGTGACATTTGCTTTTTTAGAGTCATTAGGACCATCCCCAGTCACCATAACCTTTCAAAGGTAATCAGAAGTGGCCTTGCCCTGACATCAGCCAGCTCCTCAGCACTTGTGGGTACAGCCCACCAGGTCCCATGGCATTACAAAGATCCCTTCCCCTAATTCTGTAAAAACACTAACTCAAACCACACTCCTTTCTGCAAATGCATGTTACAGAATGCAAGTGAAATACTGCTTCTCGCATGTTCAAGAAACTTTTTTGCTGTAACCACACCAAGCAGGTTTTAAACCAAGCCATTCTATGCGCACTCTCACTGCAAAAGCAACAAGAGGCTTGCTCTTGGCTCCTGGAATGGAAGTAATTCTAGGATTGCATTAAAAACCAAACCCAAACCATCAGGCATATTGCCTCTCTCTTTTGCAAATCTATTTTCAAAAGTCCACAACTTTACCTCTGCTTTTACTGCAAATGCAAAGCCAATGGAAAGGATTCCCCAGCTTCACTATGAAGTTACTTTTAAAAGGCAAGCTGCACAACATGTGCAGGTTTTATTGGATTTCAAAGACAAGAAAGTAACTGACCAAACACGTCCTCCTCTTTAGAAACATGTCACCAGAGTCATGTCAACAGAAAGATTTGGAAGGACTTCACCATGCGCTGCAGCTCAAACCAAAAAGAAAACAGTGGCAGAAATAAAACACAGCAACCAAGAACCAACAGAGGCAAAGAGAGACGGAGCCAGCCATTGGCACTGCTGATACTTTACTTTTATCCCCTCCTCCTGGGAAGATGGAGCGAAGCCTGGCTTTCTTGTTCTTCTCCTCAGGGGCCATGGGGAGCGGTTTTGAGCTGTGGTTTAGTGCTGAAGAATCGCGGTTGTTGCTGTTCATCCTCAACGGTGGGGCTGGAGGTTTCTCTTCAATATCCAGACTATCGGACATCTTCAGCAGCCCTCACAGCCTCCTGCAAAGGCAGAACAGAAAGCATGTCTGTCAAGTGAGGATGGCGAGGCTCATGTCCTGGGGAGGAAAGAGGGCAAGAAAAGCCTTCTGGTGGAATAAGGAAGTCTCTCTATGGAAGGTTTGCTCTGAATAAGGTTACTGCTGGTTGCTATAAATAAATGCAGTGGCCAATTCCTACAAATCACGGTATTATCATTAAAATAAAGGGTTTTACAGCCCTGCTAAAGGCTTTTCAAGTTTTTGTTTACAACTTTTTTCCTGTAGTTGTTAACAATCCAAACTGTCCCCTGAAACCAGCAACATTTAAAGGATTTACTGAAACTACCTGTAATGGCAATGAACCATTTTTACAATGTAAGAAAGAAGGCACACACGGGGGGGCTATGGGTAGCAAGCGTTAAGGTCTCTATTCCCTCCCTGCGGTGTTTGGGGAGGCTTTAGTTCTAAGACTGTGGGGCTTCAAAAGGAATGATCTTCCCAAAGGAAATTCATTCAGAAGCACCGATTAAAAACTTTCTTGTGCATAAACATGAACAAAGAACAGGGGTACTGACTGAAGGAAAATAATACCCAGAAATCGTCACAAAGCTGGGAACACACAGGGCAGGTGAGACTTGCCCAATGGATCTTAAATCCTAAAATTCAAGTCTGGATTAAGCAGCTGGTTTAGCAAACAAGCGACGCCTGGTAAACCCAACTGATTTAAATCTGAAAATAGAGTGTGACTTCAGACAGATCAGATGTGATGTGGGCTACACTGCGCGTTTTTAAAGGTTACAATTCTACAGGCACCTTGCTTCCAACCCCCTAAAATCAATGCGGCTCCTGTTCTGGAAGGCACGTGCAGTGCACTGTGCATGTGTTATGGATCCCTCCCTGCGCTGATTCACAGTTAACACAAGTTATCGCACTCACTGGCTACTCTCTTGTATTTAAAGTGAAGCAAACAATGTTTTTCAGCTGTGGAAGTCTCAGGTTTGTTTCAGAAGTATCAGCCAAACACAGTGACCGTCACTTGCACAGAGGTCCTGAAGCTCCAATGGAGCAGCAGCGCTGCTCTCCCTTTGGTCAGGTAAAGCTGGTGTGGCTGAGGGGTTTCAGGGTTCTTTGATTGCTTTTCATACCCAAAAACCTGAGCTAACACTTTCAACAAGTGCATTTACTTTGATATAGCTGGAATTTCACTGGCATTGACATATCAGTAGTGGATAATCAAGTCCACACTGCCTTAACTGACAGTACCTTCCATATAAAAACCAACTGACCAACTGAAACACACAGAGATGCCAACTCTAGACTGGTTTTCATGACATGGGCATTTTGGCATTTGTTTCCATTGTCAAATTACCACATATAAAACAATCACTTTTTTAGTACTTGATCTACATTTTTAATTTCACCTGTATGAGATCCCAGAATGCCAGATCTGAAATTCAAAGCATCTGCCTAGTGACAAGAATAATAAATGAAATACACCATCACATCTCTGTTTTGCTCCAGTCCCTGGCTCCACTAAGCAGTGTTCCTGAACATCTGGATCCCCAAGGGATCCCAGGGACCTGTCCTAGAGTCACACAGTTGAAAACTCTAGCAACTGCTGGTCCCAGCCCTCTCCCAAGTACCTACAGCATGAAGCTGATGTCCTGGAGAACTTGATTCACAAACATATATCCAGTCCCTAGAAGAGGGTTCTGCAAACACATCTGCACTGTCCAGGTGGAGAGCTACCAGGAGACCTGCTCTGGTGATGGAGGAACACAGCCCACCATCCTATGGAAGCACAGATGTAGGCAATGACCAAGGAAGAGCCCTGAGTCCAACCTTCAAGCACAGAGTAACCTATTTACCTAGAGAACTCAGAGCTTTTGTGGGTTTAGTCAAGCAGTTAACACTAGGGATCTGTGGGATTTCTATCCTGAAATGCAGACGGTTTTCCAGTAATGAGGAATATAAAAAAAAAAAAAAAAAACAGAAGGAAAAAGAAGACCCAGTGATGAAAATGACTGTAAGGTAACAGGGAGAACTGCACGTGCTGCACGTGTTACGCTGGTGAAGGGGAAGTACGCGATGCCCAGGTGTTTCTGCACAGGGATGCATGAGGGAGCTCCCAGCTTATGAAGCCCAACAGAGACATCCGGACACAGCTCCTGGCACCTCCAGCAACTCTCACAGACAGCACATGGCCACAGAGGCTTTTATCTGCTCTTTAACCCACCTACAACCACTTCTCCAGTGCCAAAGAGCCTTCAACCCCCGAGATCATCAGCATGAGCCTGACCACAGAAGCACCAGGGCACACTCTCAGCTTGCTACAGAGCCAGACGGTCACTCTGTGAGTCCATTACAGGCACAGTTTCAGCTGTCCCTCAGAATGGGACAACTGTATCTGTCACTGCATCTATTTGTAAACAATGCCACTCTGCTGAAATAGGTCCTCCCATGGGATTTCATTCCACAAAGAATACTGTTAACGGTTTCTGGCCCAATTTGCCTATGATGTCATTATTCCCAAGATTTTGAAAGGAACACTGTATTCTGTTCAGAGCTGATTCAGGCTCAGTTTCAAGAACCATACAAAGCTCTTTTATTCACTTCTAAACCAGAGGAAAGGAAAAAAAAAAAGGGGGGGGGTGTGATAGTCTAAAAGGTTTAACGGTTGATATTAACTCTCTAAAGCTGGTCTGAATGAAAACTAGAGCAAACCACAAGGCAATACACACCAAGAGACTTACAATTTGGGGTTTTCCTAAGCAGAGCCCATCTGCTCTTCCATTCATTCTGATTTTGAGAATTGCCATGCGCTGCAGCACAACAAAAGAACACTCACTATCCCATCAGACTTCAGATTTTAAGTGTTTTGCACTGATTTGCTCCAACCTCAACTTGGAGAAAACCTGACAGGTCAAGAAGAATCTGCTCAGAAGCTTGTCAGGTTTTCAGGTTTACACTGCAGAAGTGCCAACAGCATGACAGCCCAAGTTAAACTCTACCTTGGGACCAGGTTTTCCCACCATAGTAAGTCATTGGTTCTGCTACTCTTGTTCTGCATAGGATGACACCATCCAAAGCCACCTCCTGTCTATTGGAATGATTATGCTGTATTTGGACATTAGAAAGCACTTCTTTACTGAGAAGGAGGTCAAACACTGAAACAGGCTTCCTAGAGAGGTGGACGATGCCCCAGCTTGTCACAGTTTAAGAGGCATTTAGACAATGCCCTTAATACCATGCTTTAACTTTTGGTCACACAGTTGGACTGCACGATGGGTGTGGATCCCTTCCAACTGAAGTATTCTATTCTAAAAGATAATTATTTTGATTTCTTACAAACGTGAGGTTCACTGAGAACGTCATTCTTTGGACATGACCCTTCCAAACCAAATGCTTTCACTGCTCTCACCACACCAGCAAACATGCAGCAAGCACTCCTAGGAAACTGTCTGCAAAACAGTGCATTCAGCCTCCTAAGATGGGGTTTGTGCCCTTTTTTCCATGCCCAGAAACAGTAACTACTGCCACATTAAGGATCCTTAAGCGTTGCAACAGCACCAATTCTTGCCTTCCAGAAATAATCTCTGCTGCCTCATCCCCTTCATACACCTCATGCTCATAAACACAAGTCTCTCCACTCTAAACACACCCTGGTTTCATGAGTTTCGGCTGCACCCCCTGGCAGACCCCTGTTACTCACTGTCTCAACTCAACATGCAAAGGTTGATGACTGCATTCTCCGAAGGCTCACAAAACACCCATTTCTTAGGGGCAAGATGAATTCCCAAGTCTCTCAACTTCATGCTGATTTTCTATGCAGTTCTTCAGGAAACACATAATCCACTCAAGACCTCTCGAAGAAGCTACTGAAAGCAAACCCCCAACAAGACAAAAAACCCTCCCTCCCAGTTCCCAAATTCTAGGAGAACAAGGCTGAAGTAGCACACAGCGATGGCCAAACATCACAAAACCCAGAGGACTGACAGAGGCACAGGGAGCAGTTCCAGGGCCTCTGAGCTAATATTCCACAGCCTTCACAAGCTCGGAGAGGCAGCATGGCACTGGTTCACTTTCCTGTCACATTTTCCAGGCTCTTCCTGCAGCTCTGTGCTCTAGGGAGTGAACTTCAAGCAAACCAGAACTGAGACTGCAGAGTAATTCTGCAGCAGGGATGAGATCCTGGCAAACCCTGCACACTTTGGAACACTGTGCCCTGCTGCTAGTGCTGCTGCAGTACAGCTACCAGCGCAGCTCACCGCACCAGAGCCAAAGAGCTGCGTTGGAAGAGGCCTACCTGTGCTCACCAAAACCATGGAGGGCACAGCCCAGCGGGTTTTCTTCATCTCAGTCCTCACAGACCCCATCAGTACAACCAAGGCAGTGTGGGTAACCCTTTGACAAGAAATTCATAGATCTGCATGTGTGCAAAGGGATACCCGATAACCACTTACTTCCAGAGAGAATTTCTCTCGGTGCCCACTGGCTTTACGGAAGAGCGAGCAGACTGTTGTACCCAAACATGAGCACATCTGAGTCTGTAAGCTAGGGCTTCACAGACAGGTGGCAAAAGCTGAAATTAAATCCTCAAACAGGTCAGTTGTTTCTACACAGCTCTTACAGGGTTATAGAAGATGATCCAGTGTCACTTCCCCCCCACCTCCTCCAACCACCAGCTTTGTGAAGTGCAAAGACAAACACTGACTTTAAATATATGGCATTCAGCTTCTCCATGACTCAATTCCCCCTTTGCAAAAGCCTGCCTTACAATATTTTTGCATCTAGTTCTTGCCAAGCTGGGGAGAGGAGATGAAGGAAGATATCTGAAGCACCCAAATGTCTTCAAAACAGCACACACACAAAATTCCTTCAGTTCAAGTTCAGAGCAGAATCTCATGCTGGGCCTTCATCCCAGTAAGCTCTTCACCCCTGTGTATCTGGGGAATACTCTTTGTAGATACGTTTTGAATGGCTTTCTTAGGTTACTCACGTTATTTCAAAGTCTGCAGCATT